TTTATAGGCTTACATAAAGCTATCAAAAAATTATCTTAAAAACATTAACATAAAAATCACCTGCAAAATAAAGGAGGAAATGCAAAAATATGTATTTTTTCACTGTTGAAATTAAAATCTGAATTATGTTTATTTTGTAAAACTTTTCAGAAATTATAATTTAATTTTCAAAAGTTTAATCACAACAGATGTTATCTGTAACTTTTATAGTAACATCTGGAAAAAGTAAAAAGATGTTAGTACTGCTAAAATTTGTCATTAAATACTTTGTTACATTTCTCACTGATAATATTACATGAAATTAAACAGAAAAGAAGGTTTGCATCGTCATGCTGTCATTAAATGATACAAACTTTTTCTAACGTGGTCATTTTGTAGTTCATTTTATTCTTCATACTTAACAGACATTACCTGAAAGCTTTACATTTATAATTGTACCAAAAAAATATTAACCTTGAATGAAAATGAGACATTTATTCCAGCTCTGATTTGGTGATTAAAGTTATTTTGTAAATTAAACTGTGAGAATATCTTGTTTCTGAATAAATCAAACAACTGTTTGTTATAATCAGTAATAACATCCACTGTCACATAACTAGAAAATAAATGTNCTTACCTTCCGGTAGAAACAGCACTTGAAGCACCAAAGTGAAGAGAAACATTTTGCTGTTGTTTCCACGTGAGTTGTGCACGCGGTTACGACTTCAATGGGAGTTCCACCTGGGAATACCGGGTGCTGTAGGCTTTTGCCACCACCAGGGGGCGATAACAACTTTAGCTCCCCGTATTTTCAGACGTTTTTAACTCAACACGGATCAAAAAACGTTTACATTTATTTGTACTCCTGGCACATTTTGCTTCAATGTCAAGAGGAACATTTTGCTTGTGGTTTACAAGTCAGTTATAATTTTCTCAGATGAAAAAATATATCTAAAGTTTTTCTTGGAGGGACTCTACGCTCAGTTTTACACCACCCCTAACTAAGCAGATCCTCCTGTTTGTGATTGGCAGATTAATAGTGTATGTAAAAGAAACACACTACCAGCCAATCAAATTTAAATCAAATTTCTTTAAATTTGATTAGAGTATTGTAATTGGATAATTTTAAAAAATCCAATTACAATACTCTAATCAAATTTAAAGAAATTGCGACATGATACATATGATTCTCAGAAATTGTTTGGTAAAATCCTTGATGTTTCTCCAGATTTATTTTATAAGTGTGATGAAGATAAACTACAGTATTTAAGTATTATGTGTTTTTGTTAGCTCAGTAAGATTCAAAAGCTAGGCATCTTTGAAAGAAGACAATTTATGTTCAAAGGATGTGTTGATGCTGGTTTCTGTCTGCAGAAACATTTATCAAATAAACTGTGAATAAAAAGAAAACATGGCAGCAGTGCAGAATTTTCTATGAGCTAAGGAAATAAGCTAGAAAACATCAGAGGCACCAGCAGGAGCAGCAGGACAGGACTGGCATTGCTGGCGCTGTTGCAGTAGTCGCCCTGGCAGCAGCTAAACTTTACTCCAGTGACCTGTCCAGAAATCTGTGACGTGAACTGATTCACTAGTGAAGAAAACTGATCTGAGCACACTAACTCAGAGGCACATCCCTTCGTCGTCAGACTTACTCCTAGAGAAGGAAATAAATCTGACATGCAACCTTGCTAAATGTAAAGCATATACAAACAATTTTTATTTTGGTTTAACATAAAAATGAAAAAAAAAATTAATTAAAGAAGTGTGTTGGTGCAAAAATAAAATCTATAAGCACATTGCACAGCAGAAGTCTGTGCCGGTGGGAAATTAACACAGCCTTGGTGGTACCATCAGTTGTACATGGCACATGCGATCTGTAAATAAAAAAATCAGAATTGTCAAATAACAACATAAGAATATTTTGAGTTCATTATTGTTTTTACTAAAGGTGATATTGGGTTTTGTCAACATAAAGCTTCTTCTTAATTATCAATATTTGTTTGTTAGCTCATTATTTCAGAAGGTGAAAGGTTGTATTTGTGTGTTTCAAATTTATATTGAAATGATGTATTGATGAAAAATGCTGTGATTTTTAAAGTCACATTTACACTTCAAAAGAAAAATGAAAATGTCACCAGTAGAAAAGAAACATGTCATACTTTCTTTTCAGACTCGTTTTCCGTAAAATTGATCAATTTCAGCACATGTATTGTGGAATAATGAAGTAAGAGTTTTTTGGCTAAAATAGAGAGGAAGTACAAGTACGGTGAAATATGGAATAAAGATGGGCAATACGGACTAATAGTTTTATCAAAATTCTTTGATTTTCTATTTTATTAACAGAAAATGTAACAAAAATAACTATTCCTTAATATTTTCTGATATAATATCTCTGAGAATTTTTGTCTCAACAAACATAGACTGGAAAAACAATCACTGCTAAAGAATAACATAAATACATTTTTTTTTACAAAATCTCTTTCTCTTTCTTACTGTTTATTCAATGTCACATGCTGTTCTTATTTTTTTCTTTAATTATGTAAAGCACCTTGAAATGCTTTGCTGCTGAAATGTGCTATACAAATAAAATTTGAGTGATTGATTGAAATACATGCAATACAAATGAGTAGTACACTGGTAATATAGACAAGTATGAATTTTAAGTGCATACAATACAATGTGTCGAACAATCAATTCAAATACGTTCATATTTAATGATGCTCTCAATAAATAAAAATAAAATGAAAAATTGTAATAAGGGGAACCATTTACAATCACAATACAGACAATTATGTCAACATTATTGAGTGTGATTTATTATGACAACAATAAATAAAAATGTTGAACATGACTTTTGTACTGATACAAAAAATATCATAACTGACCATCCTGCATGAAAATCATATGTAATACATAAGTTTCATATATGGGGGACAATAAATAAGGCATGTATGTTGCCAAAAAATGCATCCCTGTGCTAACTTTAAGAAAAAAAAAGTTAAGTGTGAAATATATTTTTTTTTTACATAATCAGAATATTTGAGGAGAATAAAGAGGGGATGCATATTTTGGCAGGCTGGAAAAGCAAATTGCCAAAAAAATGCATCCCTGTGCTAACTTGGAGAAATAAAGAGCTGAAAGGATTTCACCTTTTCTACGTAATGACACTTGTTCTCTGAGCTAATGCTATAATTTTTATATCAACAGGATGGATGCAAATATTTTCAGGCTCATGAATTAAAATGCATTCCCTCCTACATTAACAGACTAGAAAGTTAAGCATGATGTAAAATGTTCTACATAATGGGCCTCTGTTTTGTAATGCTTTTAAGCTGTTATGGTATCAAAAGAAAAAACAGAGAATTTCAAACCATTTGCGGAGAACGTTTTCAACAGACGGACTGAAAAAAAGTTCGACTCATATGTGTCAATAAAGGTGTAAAAACCGTATTTATTTCAAGTAATTTGCGAAATAAAACCCACCATTTTAGGGATTACATGGTTAAGAAACGTGATAATGTTACAAATATCTTTAAAATTTCCTCTTCGGTCATATTTCAGTCCGGTTTCTCGTCAATATGCGAGACTTTAGAGCGATGCGCGCTCCCGCGAGAGGGGATGCAATTTTGGGCAGGCATGCGTTTCTGGGCATAACACCTGTACCAAAACACACCGAACATGTTAAGGTGCCAGCAGCCAGCAGAGGTTAGGCTAGTATAACTGACCCACCACTCACTTGTTCAATGTTTTCCTAAAATTAAAACGTTTTCCTCACCTGATCTGAAGCCCGTATTACCATTATATATGGTTGAATTAACTGCTAAACATCGCGTCCGTTGTTCTGATTCTTTGCGTGATTGTAGTATTTTCCTGACCACTGATATATTCCTGACTCAATGGACAGCAATGGCGCATGTGTGACTTACGATAAATCACTAATGTCCAGTCCAGTAATATACATCAATGCTGCTGGCGCTCTGTCCTTCTCTCTCACTTCCCGCTACTTCAGTGGGTGTCAAGTTACATTGTGTTGCATTCAATGTTGTCGGAAAAAAAAGAGTTTCATGCGCTTAAAGTCCGATTTGCCATAACTATTTATTGAATTCATTGTCGCTAGCTGGGGTGGCAACAGGGGTGGCAAGGCTCTCGTTTGGGGTGGCAACTGCCAACAATTTGTTCCATTGCTTGGAGTGTTTTTCTTTTACATTTTGACTTTGTTGTCCATTTTTTAAATTACTAATTTGTTTGCTTTTTTGGCGTTTGATTTGATTTTTGTAATAATTAAGAGCTGTTCGTATCTGACATGTTCCCTTTCTTTTCAAGGACCGAGCAGCCATGTTTTTAAAGAAAGAAATGTTTTAAGAAAATTGTTAATAAAATACTGCGTACTATTCAGTCTGTATTCGGGCGCATCTTATACATGATTTTTAAATAGATCTCCCTTGCTGGTCACACTCTGAAAGCTTTTAACTTCTCTTTGAACAAACAATTTTTAATATTAAAACAAAGAAAAAGGAAAATGTTTATTCCACATTTATAACATCAAGTAATTTTTGTCATGTGGAGGTTTGTTGTGGTGAGGATACGGACACAGGTAGACCCAGGTTGAAGGTGAAGATGATGAGTTTAATGGTGATAATCCAGGTAAACAGAGCAACAGGGAACAGCACGAAGAACATCAGTCGGCATTAGACAACAATGACAAGATTAGACAAGGATCCAAGGAGAGACAAGGACAAAAGGTGGGTATAAATACACACAAGGTAATTAAGGGGATGAGACACACCTGGGAAACAATCGGGGAGGACAAGACAGAGACTCACAGGAAAAGCAGGACTGAACACAGGAAATCTCAAAAATAAACACACAGAAACACGGATCGTGACAATTTTCTTGTTTTGAAACTAACCATCTAGAATGAGAAAAGTACTGGACCCAGAATTTCAAAAAAAAATCTTTGCATTTATTGAGGAAGATTCTTTTAGTATACAACAATAAAGCATAGAGGACATTGTTAATTCCAAAATGTTGCTCAACTAACCAAGTTTTTATAGAATCAGATAAAATGAAGAGATTTATCAAATTAATTGTGATTAAAAAGAAAACATGGCAGCAATGCAGAATTTTCTGTGAGCTAAGAAAATAAGTTAGAAAACAGCAGAGGCACCAACAGGAGCAGCAGGACAGGACTGGCACTGCTGGCGCTGTTGCAGTAGTCGCCCTGGCAGCAGCTCAACTTTACTCCAATGACTTGTCCAAGAATCCGTGAAGTGACCTGATTCACCACTGAAGAAATCTGATCTGAGCACACTGCCTTAGAGGCACATCCCTTCGTCGTCAGACTTACTCCTTGTACATTTCCTGTAAAAATAAAAATAGTTATGATGCGAGTAACACATTTGCATCTGATCTTAACATTTTTCTGAGGATAAATATGAAGCATGCAGACATGTTGGCCTCTCACCTGTTACTTTGACGCAGTAGTTTTCATCCCCTAGACAGTTAAGGGTTTTCATGCAGTTTTCTCCATCACAGGCGAAACACTTTTTGCCATTTGGAGTGGACTTGTTGTCTAAGATACAAAAATAGTTATTCAGTTGAAAAGAAATGAAGCTTTATTATAGTTTTTTCTTAAAAGCTTTCATTTTGTTGTCACCAACTTGTTTCTCCTAAAATATATGCAGATGAAGCTAGAATCACAAAACTATATTTTATTTGTTTAGCCTATTTTTGAATTAGATTTAAAAAGCTTGTGGGCACTGCAAATTCAAATTGTGCACAGTCTTGAAAAATACAATCAGGGAATTAATTACCAGGTTTTGGGTAGTCAGTTTGGGTGTTGCAGAGGTCTCCATTGCAGCAGCTGCTTTTTTGCAGCAATCTATGAAATCCATTGTTGATTGAGAAGTCAAGACACAGTTCAGCCATAATGCAATTTTTGACATTGTGCTCAGAAACCTCATCACCTGTGATCAAAGAACACAAATTTTAAAGTGGGTTAGTCACAAACTAAGAATCATCAACTGGAAAACTCATACATACGTACCATGAATTGTGGTTTGTGTTGCTGTTAAGCAATGATCGTTCTGTGAGGGACATTCAGATTCCCCAGAGCAACTTCCATAGATGCTTGGTGAACATTTACATTTCAGGGTGTCAGCTACTTAAAACAAAGAGAAAATAAACTTTNAGCAATATTAAAAGTTCATCCACGGACTATTATACGTTACCGTCAAGTAGTCCGACAAGCTCCTGAGATTTACGGCAAGTGGCATGATATTGCGTTGCTGAAGCTTGAGACACCAATAAGAGATGTCCCACTTGGTCAGCTATCAAGTTGCAGCCGTCGTCTTAAAGTGTAAGTCTTTCTCTGATCAAAACATGACTTCAGGTTTTCTGTCTCCACTCCTCCAGTCCTGCTGCCTCTGCTTCAGCACACCTGAGTCAGGTAATCAGGCCACCAGCAGAACCAGAACCTGTTTAGCTCAGGTGTGTTGGACCAGAGACGCATGTAAAGGATACAGGACACCATCACTGAGGACTGGAGGTGGACACTCCTGTGTCAGTGGATGAAGTCCTTCATGGATTCATTTTATGTTCTTTCATTGTTCTTCATAACAATTAATTTTCTACATTGTTATATTTTTACATTTTACTCTTATTGTGTTTTAGAGGCGATGTTGTTCAGCTGGCAGGAGAAGGAGGAACGACAACCGGCCCCAATAATAAGCGATGTGAGAGAAATATTGAAGTTATGTTAATAAAATCTTTGATTTTGTCTCTACAGGTCGAGTGAAGAACATGTTTATGATTCTCATGTTTCTCTACAGTAACTGCTTCTGCTATTCCATCACATCTTCAGTGTGTCAACATGAAAGTTGTTGCTGTTTCCACCTTCTTGCAGACACGTGGGCATATATTCCTTACTGAAGCACCGAACAAGGATATATGCTATGTAAGTTTGTTTCTTCAATATCTCTCTGCAGCGATTCGAAGACTTTTTTGTTTTACAACATAAATAAATATAAATTTTTCTACAGGCTGACGCTGGTGGAGCAGCGATGTACAACGGCATGATTTATGGAGTGATTTCTTTTTTTGGAGCAGACTATGCATGTCAGCAATCAACTGTAATCATGGATGTGTGTGAATACTTGGGGTGGATAAAACAAAAAACTGGCCTTGAATAAAACATAAACTATCATGAAATAAAATTCTCATCAAATTTCCTCTCACATATAATTTTATAATTGTATCTTCATCAGTTTGATCCACATGTTTGTAGAATTAGAATAAATTCATTGTTTTGTTTTTTTCCTCACCTGATCTTCACCTCCCTCATGGAGTTTTCTCTTCACCTCAGAAATGAAAAATAAATCAATACTTGAAAAAAAGCATTTCCTGGCTGACATTCATGGTTCAGTTTGTTCAGTTGATATTTTCCCTGAAATGAGTCTAAAAACATGAGTTTTAAATCACATGAAGAGAAACATGTGAAGTAATTCATTTATTCAGTTTTTGTCTTTATTTTACATCAGAAATGAACATGCAGCATCTAAACTCTGCAGCTCTGGAGTTTCTATTCCTGATTTAGATCTAGAGAACTTTAAACTCCACGACCAAAGAGTTGTGCACAAAAATAATGAAACAGAAGTCACATAAAGCAACTATTAGCAGATAATAAAATCCTAATAACTTAAAAATAAAAACATCACATTTTTAATGAAGATACAAAGGAAATAAAATGTCCAATAATTAAAAACAAATGTCGAAATCTGGAATGAAAGAAGTTTTAAGAAAATATTTTAAAACAGGCAAAACTAATTAATGGTAGCTTCTGGTTGCCACAAATTTTACATAAAAATGATGGAAAATTTCCCTCTCTTACAGTTAAAGAGTCACTGCTAATTGTAATTTTAACACTTTTTATAGGCTTACATAAAGCTATCAAAAAATTATCTTAAAAACATTAACATAAAAATCACCTGCAAAATAAAGGAGGAAATGCAAAAATATGTATTTTTTCACTGTTGAAATTAAAATCTGAATTATGTTTATTTTGTAAAACTTTTCAGAAATTATAATTTAATTTTCAAAAGTTTAATCACAACAGATGTTATCTGTAACTTTTATAGTAACATCTGGAAAAAGTAAAAAGATGTTAGTACTGCTAAAATTTGTCATTAAATACTTTGTTACATTTCTCACTGATAATATTACATGAAATTAAACAGAAAAGAAGGTTTGCATCGTCATGCTGTCATTAAATGATACAAACTTTTTCTAACGTGGTCATTTTGTAGTTCATTTTATTCTTCATACTTAACAGACATTACCTGAAAGCTTTACATTTATAATTGTACCAAAAAAATATTAACCTTGAATGAAAATGAGACATTTATTCCAGCTCTGATTTGGTGATTAAAGTTATTTTGTAAATTAAACTGTGAGAATATCTTGTTTCTGAATAAATCAAACAACTGTTTGTTATAATCAGTAATAACATCCACTGTCACATAACTAGAAAATAAATGTCTGTTGTCTGATCAGATTGTAACTCTTGTATTTATTTCTGGTTATCAGTGGGAAAAAAAATTTATGGATTTCCAATGAAATATTAAACATATTTTTAGTTTTACAAACTGTTAAATTCGTCATTAAAGAAAACAAAACTAAAATGTGCATCAGACAGTTTGTGTAGAAAACAATAACATCTGCATGGATATGTTGGATTTTGTTGCGGCCTTCTATGTTCCAAAAACAAAATTAAACAAAGGCCGTGTGTGGTAACAGCTGATTTGATTTGCACGCACTTCCAACTTGATTTGTTTTGAAAAAATATATATAAAAATAGCAACAAAGTAATTACTAAAAATGTCTTACAACTTAGCCGAACACGAAAGTAAACTTAATTTGATGTTTCATGTACAAACAGGTGGTCAAAAAATAATTTACAAAAGCTCCCGTCAACACACCAAACATTTGCCAAACAATCGACCTTGTTAGGGATTTTTGTATTATCATTTTTACATTTATATATCATACATTTATTATTACTTTAGATCATTAATCAGTCTTATATTAATCAGTATTGACGTAATTTTCATTTCGTCTTGTCTGTGTTAAAACTTTTTGCACCAAGAACTGATTGTTCCCTCCACCCATGGGAGAAATCGCCCCCGATCGAAAGGGTAAGATGACCTGTGTAGATAGAGCTTGCCATCTGTCTTGCTGTTTATCTTCTTACATTCTTCCTTTTCCCAAAGAAAAGACCAGTTCTAGCTGATAGGGGGTGGAACGCTCAGTGAGCGGCACGGAGGAGCACTTTGCTGAAACTTCTCCTTTTGCAAAAGTTTGGCCATAAAATCCATATACATTGTCTGTAGTTCTTTTATGAAGGTTCGGAAAACTACATATCAGACCTCCACTCAGCACTCAGTGCGTTCTTAATTACTCAAATTAATGGGAGCGTCTAACAGTTACCAACTTAATCTAAACCAAATATAAAAATTAATTACAAGTTTTGGTTCTAAACTGACTTAAATATATTGTAACTGCCCAAAAAAGAAAACTAAACTAGTAGAAATTACAATTCACAAAACTGAGCATAAATGGCCACAACAGATTTATTCTGGTAAATTCTGACAGTTTTGAACACATTTTCTAATGATAACTTAAACTTTAGAAACATTAAACACTCAAACATTTTCTATCTGAGTGTATTGAGAGATCAGAGGAAGCTAAACTGTTGTGCAGATCTGCTCATGGGTACAGATGTGGGTGCATAAACACACATTTTTGTGATACTCTGCAGGACTTCTCAGTAGGTGGAAGAAATCTGGTCCAATCAGCAGGACCCTGAACTCAGATTATATAAGGAATCCACAAAGCGTTTGGCTGGTTTTGCAACAGAGCTGAGGAAGGCAAACACAGTCTCCAAAGTAGCATTTCATGGGAAAAAGACTTGAATTAAATAAGGATTACCTGCAAGTCTTTCATGGGACTCAGTTGAAATTTAATTTGACTTTGGTTTTGCAATTGAGTAAAAGAAGGAAGGAGTTTGCACTGCTGGTTTTTACAGTTTGGCTGTATTAAATGCATCCAAAAACTTATGTGCTGAGGCAAAGAAAAGTTTAATTCTAATTTAGAAAAATGTTTGACCTCATGTAAAATTTGTTTGATTCAACTAAACAAAGGAAATCATTTAATTCTTGAATCCACGGTTAAAACTGTGAAAGAAATGTCTGAAGTTAATGGAATTGATAACTAAGATAAATTATTAACTTTGAATCAAATGTCTATAATGTATGTTTAAATTTGTATGTGTTTTGCAGGTTTTTCATCTCTTCATTGATTCACGTTCACCGGTGTAAATAAAAAAGATTGAGTGAAATCCTGAAGACTCCAAGACTACTTTTTCAAGTGTGGGAAGCCATGAAATTATAAAGCACTTGACATAAACATTTAGCGCTGCGCTAAATACTTAACTAGCAAGCTAAATATTATTTGCTAGCTAAACATTTAGCTTAGAGCTAAATAATTAGTTGGTAAACTTAATATTTAGTGAAGTTGCTAAATAAATATTTTAATGGCAAGCATAAATGTTTAACTAGTTGTCAAACTATGTCATTGTTTTGTTTATTGATCTTTTTTTTTAAAACCTTTGTGTGTCTGATCAGTTTCTCTCAGCGTTCCCTGATGTTACTGTCATTGCATCAAGACTTTTCATTCTGATGAGGCGTTCAGACATGAAGAGCTGCTTTAGAGGAATCATTCATTCTGAATTAGTTCTGAATCACTTTTGCAGGTTTGCTAGATTTCCAGGTTGTAGTAATTGTTTTAAGAAATGCTCCAGTTGTGCAATCGTGAAGAAAGAACCAAAAACTCAGAGGAACTGGAAAACCAAAAATTCTTAGTCTGAAGAACTTCTTCACATTAAGTTGCAGATTATTGTAATTTAAATACTGAGAAAATTGGCTGATAAAACGTTCTTTGGTGAATATTAGATGCAAATTTAGATCTAAATAGCAGGAAAAGGGGGAACAATCTTGGGTTTTAAATAAAATGTTTTACAAATGTGAGAGTGTGTGTTAAAATGAGAGATGAAACGAGCTTCTCAGTTAATTTAAAACGTCAAATGTAAATCTGTCAGGAGCTACAACAATATTAGCCTTCAGTGTAAGTCATGAAAATGATAAAAATAAATAAAATTATTGGAACAAGTCTATCGCTTCTTGGTGCCAGATAAAAGGTCTGTGTGGCTGCTGGTCCTTCGCTTACGGCCATACCACCCTGAACACGTCTGATCTCGGAAGCTAAGCAGGGTCGGGCCTGGTCAGTACTTGGATGGGAGACCGCCTGGGAATACCAGGTGCTGTAAGCTTTTGCTGGCTCTTTCATTAATTTATCTGTTGTGAAAGACGACACTGAAGCAAAATCTGCCAGAGTTACCAGTAAATGTAAAAGTTTTTGATCTGTGCTGCCGAGTTAAAAAGTGTGAAAACGGAGAGTGCAAGAATCGGTAGTGCCCCCTAGTGGGGGCAAAGCCTTACAGTACCTACAGCATCACTTCAGCCTGCAGTGTGAACCTAGCCTTAGAGAAGGATGTTCTTTTTACTCAGCAGTATTCATGCTCTTGGGGTGAAATCATTTCACTTAATTATTCTCAGTGGCATCCATTAAAAAAATAAATGTTTTATAAGGTAAAGGTATTAGACCTAGAATTTAAAATTTTTAGTTTATTTCTTTTAGTACACAATAGCAATGAAATATTGAAGATGTTTAAAAAATTATGCTTGGTCTTATATTCATAGAGAACCAGTTAAAAGGAAAATAAGAGATTCATTAGATGCTTTAAAAGGTTGGTAGCCATGCAATCATTTCTATGAGCTAATAATTTCTGAGTCTCTCCAGGTTAGTGATTCATTTGGACTCTACAGTCTTATTCTCTAAAAGTTTTTATTTTCTCTTTGGAAAAAAAAAATCAAAATGAAAAACAAACAAACAACAAAGTATATTAGATGTTAATTCCAAAATGTTGCTTAACTAAACATTTTTATAGAATCAAATAAAAAGAACAGATTTATCAAATGAATTGTGATTAAAAAGAAAACATGGCAGCAATGTAGTATTTCCTATGAGCTAAGAAAATAAGTTGGAAACCAGCAGAGGCACCAGCAGGAGCAGCAGGGCGGGACTGGCACTGCTGGCGCTGTTGCAGTAGTCGCCCTGGCAGCAGCTCAACTTTGCTCCAGTGAACTGATTCACCAGTGAAGCTGTCTTATCTGAGCACACCAGCTCAGATGCACATCCCTTCACGGTCAGACTTGCTCCATCTACATTTCCTGTGAAAATGAAGTTATGATATCAGTAACACATTTATATCTAATTCTTCTGAGGAGAGATATGGAGCATGCAAACATGTTGGTCTCTTACCTGTTACTTTGACGCAGTAGTTTTCATCCCCAACACAGTCAAGAGTTTTCATGCAGTTTTCTCCCACACAGCTGAAGCACTTTCTGCCACTTGGAGTGAGCTTGTCATCTAGGATGTAGAGATGGTTATTCCATTGACAAGAAATGCTAAATTACAACATTTTTTCTTCAAAACTCTTTTTTTTCACTAACTTGTTTCTCTTAAAATATATGCAGATGAAGCTAAACTCACTACACTTTAAAACATTTATTGGTCTGTAGTTCATGTTACAAACTTTTTTACTTTAATCTGACTTAATTCTTTAGGTTTATTGATGACAACTTGCTTTTTGTGTTGAATTAACTTAGAAGTTACAAATCTTTAATTTAAAGTAACTTTTTACTTTAACTTTACTTCACAACAACTAAGTTTAATGCTGCGCTCATATCCTACGTCTGACATCATGACGCAATCTTCACCAGGGACAGATCCTGCACCAAACAGGTGCTGTGGCGGCGAAGGGGCGAACCACAACTCACATCAGGAGAATTGATGAAGCTGTTGCAGGTTTGATTCCCAGCATGACGACCTTTGCCATCTGTCACTACATAAATGATGACCTGTCTGATGATCAAGACAGCGATAGGGAGTATCGTCTAATATATGGAGAAGCTAAAATTCTGATCAGAAAGTTCAGTTTCTGTTCATCCTCTGTAAAGAGAGCTTTTTGTGCTCCACTATACACTGCTCACCTGTGCTGACAATAAAAAAAGCAGCCTGCAAAAACTTTATGTTAAGGAAATAAATTAATCATATTTTGATATAAAACACTGTTTCAATTAATAAACGAATCAAGAATAACAGAATGCATTGTGGTTTGTATTTTAATCAAGGCTCAAACAGAGAAAGAAATGACCATTGAGACTCCGGCAGAACCTGGGAGTGAAGAATAGATAAAAGTGAATGACTTCTTATCAGGCACCAGATATGTACAAACAGCACCTCCTTCAGCTTTCTCCTCTTAGGGAGTTATTTTCTCAGGCTCTTCAACGAAAACTGATCTCTGTTTAATTTACTGTATGACCTTGGAGGCGTCAAACCAAAGTCAGGAAGAGAAAAATACAACCTCTGAAACATCCCTCCACCTGTGCTTCCAGGATGAAGGCTGCTATATAATAAAATTGATTGATTGGTTGAAATAAAACTAGGTTTGTCTCTACATGGCCTAGATATGCCATATTTAGGCCATGTACTATGTAAATGTACTATGTAAATGTACTATGTAAATGGGAGCATGGGAGTGCATGTACTCCCATGCACTGAGTAGTGCATGAGAGTACTACTCAGTGCCTAGATGGATTAGTGCTAACCTTATATTTGTACATAATTCTGTATCCTCCTGTGCAGCTGTGCTCAGGAATCAAATGTACAAATGTATGTGAAGATTATTTATGTCATGCAATAATATAATTGCAATTTTAGTAAACCCTGCACTGAGTACAGTCCAATTACTCTCAAATCAAAAAACCCTTAAAAAATATCCTTTTATTTTATTTGACATAAACTAAATGATTTGAGTAAGACTGACTTAATTTTGTCAACTTAAACCAACTTAATAAATAAGGTTGGATAAACTGGATTTAATTACTTGTTACAAGTTGAAACAATTCAATTAAGCTGGTTCAACTATTTTTATTTTTCACTGTAAGTGGATTATACTTTTTAACCCAAGTCTGAAATAGGTTTTAAAAAGTTTGTGAGCACTGTAAATTCAAATTGTTCAAAGTATTGAAAAACATAATAAGGAAATGAATTACCAGGTTTTGGGTAGTCAATCTTCGCATTGCAGATGTCTCCATCGCAGCAGCTGCTCTTTTGTACCACTCTGTAAGCTCCATAGTTGACGGAAAAGTCAAGACAAAGTTCAGGTAAAACGCAACTTTTGTCGTTGAGCTCAGAAAACCTTGCACCACCTGTAATTAAAGAACAACACATTTAAAGTGAGGAGGTCCCAAACTAATAACCAACAACTGGAAACCTCACAAATACGTACCTAGAAATTTGACTTGTGTTGTTGCTGAACAACGATAGTTCTGTGAAGAACATTCAATTGTTTTCTGAGTGCAACTTCCAGGCAGGTTTGATGCACATTCACATTTCAGGTTGTCAGCTAATTAAAATACAGAGAAAATGAACTTTTATTGTCAACAAAGTATGAAAAGGAAACAGGGATATTACATGTTTTCTAAATGCCAAAAATCCTATTATTAACCAAAACAAAAACGGCAGGAAATACAGAGTAGGAAGGAAAAGTCTGAAAGGCTTAGCAAGAAAAGCAGAAACTGGATTATTGTAGTTTTTAATGTGAGAGAAGGAGAACAGTTAAATGTAATGAAATCACACTAATAAATGCAACGCTACGTTAATCATACCCGTCTAGTCTCCCGTTATGGCCGGGAAACTACTATATTCTCACCGCCTTCCCCTTCTCTCTCTCTGACGGTAGCACCGAATGACGAAAACTAGACAGATATGTAATAATAACTGTAATAAAAAAACTTACCTTCCGGTAGAAACAGCACTTGAAGCACCAAAGTGAAGAGAAACATTTTGCTGGGGGATTACAAGTGAGTTATAATTTTCTCAGTTGAAAATATATATAGAAAGTTTTTCTGGGAGGGGCTCTACTCTCAGCTTTACACCTCCCCTAACTGAGCAGGTCCTGATGTTTGTGATTGGCAGATTCATAAAGTAAAAAGCAGCACAATGAAAAGCAGGTCTTTTTTATCCAATAACAGTACTCTAACTGAATACAAAGAAATTGGTGTCAAGATATGTGTACTTCTCAAAAATTAATTATCTGGTAAAATCCTTGATGTTTGTCCAGATTGCTTTTATAAGTCTGAGTATTTAAATATTGCAGAATAAAATATTAAATGTGTCTGTTTGGTTTCCTGCCTGCAGTTCACACATGCAGGCAGGAGTCTAGCATGAAGTACAAAAATAGCTCAAAGTGGTTGGACCCACTGAGAAAGTTTTCAAATATGTTTGAGATATGATTGTATTTTCTATACACACCTGTGTCACTTCTGCCTTTTTTGTGATGGGGGGTTGAGTTCATCCTTTGTTCTTCCTCTCAGACTTGTGTGTGTGAAAGCAGGATGTGGGATTATTTGCTCACATGAACAGGATGTGGGGTTATTTGCCCACATCCTGCTTTCACACACACAAGTCCAGCTCACATCGGGGCTCTGCTTCTCTGACAAGTTCAGTGACAATCTTTGAATTAAACTCAGACAGATAAATATTGATCTTTCTGTGTTTATTTAATGTTTTTTTGCTCCGTTGATGAAAATGTTCACCACAGTATCATTTGTTTCTGTTAGCTTAGTATGTTTTAAAAAATTGTCTCCATTGAAAGAGGATGCTTTATGTTCAAAGGATGTGTTGATGTTGGTCTCTGTCTGCATCTTCGAACGTGTTTGTGTGTCTTATAAGCCCATGAGGACTGGACACCTTCATGGAGTTTGTCACAAAATAAATAACCTATTACTACTACTACTGGTATGAAACCAGTCCAGCTCGAGGTAGAGAAAATATGATCTGTATCTGTAAGAAATAAAGCCAACAATAGAACTTCACCTGCTTATAACACAGACAGGTAGTAAAACAAGGGAAATAAATGTGCCAGCACTGTCCTGCAGACTCTATCGAGCTGCAAACAGCTGTGCATGGAGTTGAGTCATACAAACCACTGCATGTTTTCTCAAGAACAGCCTGCAGAAGTTTAACACATAAACCACATGTGCAGCTCACAGATAACAAGTTGTTTACGTGTTAAAAATCATATTTTATGTATATGTGAGCTTGATGGCTTTCTATAAACTTGAATGCTTTGAACACATTTGGTCTGGACTTTAATCTTAGGAAACTGTGAACTTTATTGAGTTTTTAAAGACAGTTTCCTCATATTTAAACAATCACCTGCTGAAATCCAGAAAAGTCCAAGTGAACATTGGGTCTTTGTGTGAGTATGTGCAAGTGTGCATGTATGAAATAAATATTTAATATGTACCCCATATTTTTTAACCTTAGTCTATTGGCAGAACTGGAAAAAGTAGAAGACACTTAGTTTTGTGATTTTACTATGAAGTTAAATTGGGGCCATAAAGTTTGTTCAAAAGGAGAAAAAGATTTGAACCTGAAAGAAATACTCAAAACTACTTTTCAGATTTAAAGCTTTTTTTTGTTTGAGAGATTTTTTTTTTTACAGATTCAAACACAATGACTGCAGTTGTCCAGCTGTAAGTCATCCGAGGCCCCACCACCCATGCCAAAATGGGGCCAGAAGTTTGAATCTGAAAAAATATATATCTGAAGCTTAAAAAAAATTCAATCTGAAAAGTAGTTTTGAACATTTTCTTAGTTTCAAATGTTATTTTTTATTTTAAATGTTTTATTCAGTTTCATTTTTTTTCTTCTGAAGAAACTTTTTGGCCCCAATTTACCTCCATACATATGCAGATCATTTGGGTGAAACAAGTTGGTGATAAAAAAGTGGGAGCTTTGAAGAAAAAAAATATGATTCTGCAGTTCTTTAGACTACAAGTTCAATCCAAATGGATAAAAGTGCTTCATCTGTGAGGGAGAAAACAGCATGAAAACCCTCAACTGTGACGGGAATGAAAATTCCTGCATCCCAGTATCAGGTAAGAGGATATCATGTTTTTACATACTCTGTATTTATCCTGCTAAAACCAGATCCAAACATGTTACTGACGA